TCTTAAATGAAGTATAGAATTTGAAGTAGTGGAGCACATTCCAGATGGGCAGTGGTGAAGAGCAGTATGAGTGAAAGCACATACAGAGGAACAAAGAGGTCCCTATTTAAAAGGGCATGGACTAATAAATGGGGGGGGGGGAGAGACAGTAAAGAAATGAGACAGAGACAGAATGTAGTAAGTACATCTTGAAATATAACAAGACCTCATACTCCCCAGTTAATACATCAAGGACAAGGGGGGGGAGGGGGAAGAGAAGGATGGAACATTTTCTTTTAACTATCTAGACTAAGAAAAAAAAAGTCCAAAAAACAAAGAATCACTGTGCTAATTTGTAGTTTCTATTGATTCTTTAGGTTTTAAAGTGTTATTCTATTTCTCTGGCTATGGCACTTTCAACTGTCAGATTTATTAATTTACCCGGATTAAGCCTCTAGATAGGGCTTGGAGACTGCAGTCTAGAAGAGCTGAGTTTGAATGTGACCTCTGACTGGCTGTGTAAACCTGGTGAGCCACTTAACCTGTTTCAGTCTGTTTCCTCAACTGTAAAATGTGTATTATAATAATAGCACCTCACTCCCAGGATTGTTGAGGATCAAATGAGATAACATTTGTAAAGAGCTTGGCACAATTCCTGTACAAGAGTCTTAGTAACTACTTGTTTCCTTCCTTCCTCTAAAATAATAAATACAAAAAGTAATATTTTTAGTAGTTGGAATTCAAGTTTCTTTACCTGAAAAATTTCTCTATATTTTTATTGAATGAGCATTACCGCTTTATCCTATTTAATGTATCATGTAATAAATTCACTGATTTCATCTGAAACACCAATGGGAAAAAGCTCTGAATAGCCCTTACATCATAGTTTCTTTTCTACTAGAACTATTAAAAGTTTAGAGTAAGAAGGTACTCTAGAAATTGCCTAAATCCATTTTCTTCACAGATTAAAACTTATACTCAGAAAAATTATGCAATTTGCCCAATTTCTGTGGCTAATAAGTAGTTTTTAATAAAACCAGAACTGGAACCCAGGTCTTCTCATTCTTAGTCTAGTGTTTTTTCTTCACTGACTTCATCAAATCAATTCACTTCATTCTTGTTTTCTACATTTACACAAGGATAGGTATCATATGTAAATGATATAGTGATGCATAAATGATACGTAAATCAGCTTTTTAAAAAGACTTTTTAAAAATACAACTAAGTAACAACAATTCAGAAGAATTTCCTACTGGTTATGTTCAAATCCTCAATTTCTGAGGAAACTGATTATAATGATACTAAGGAAAGTATATAACTTCTTGGTCAATGTAATATTTTTACAGATTACCTAGGTCTGATTCAGTACTTAAAAACGCACTTAAAACCTTAAGTTTTTCAACTTCCAAAATTTACTATATTTATATATCTATATTCATCTGTTAGAGGCTTGTAAGTTTAAAATATAAATGTACATTTTTCTAAAAAGAATAAAAACGACAAAAAACGTTGTATGCAAAGTAAATGACAACCTAGCTAAGTATTTTAAAACACACACACAACATATTGAAAAACAGCCTACAGAACAGAAATAATGACAGGTTTTTAATTACAGTCAAACTTTAATTCTAGATGAATATGAAAGCATTTAGATATCAGACACATGTATAAAAATCCAACAAGCTCCAACAATATTATATATACTAAAATTTAAAATAAATGAAATATGGGAAATCCCACAATTACATTTACAAAGATGACATTAAATCCATAATCGTTCAATATTTCTTGTACTTTATATGAGGGAGGTGGGTTTATTCGAGGGAGCTGCTGTCTACACTGAAACTCTCACTCAATTGTAGCACTGTACACAGAGCAAACTATATATAGCAAACAAATCTTTAAAAAAAAGCCCTCAGCATTTAATTATGTTTTAACCTCTGACAGGAATCACTCCAACCAATAAAGCAACCCCTTAATGTTTCCCTCCCCCATGCTGTAAATGCGACACACATAGGCCTCAGATATAGGCCTCTTGCCTTATTCTCCTACATAACTAGGACCTTTGTTCCAAGCGCCGGTTTTTTCCCCTACTCAACAGCTCTTTCAACTTTCTACACTGCCTTTATTTAAGTATGGCAATTTAAGCCTCAACTCCGGGAGCCTCTGAGAGATTAAATGCCCCTGACCAGGTCGGGAAAGACTCTCGAGAAGAATGAAAAGTTAAAAGCCAGCAGCCAGGGGCCTACAAGGCTGAGAAAGCAGGGAGATCGGGTGGCTCGGCAGCCCCGAAGCCAGCCGGAGAGCCCGAGGCGGCCGGGGTAAGCTGGAACACACCCAGAACGTATTCCCTGCGCCAGTCCGGGCCCCGCGCCCCCCCCCAGCCCCCGGCCCCTCCTCCTCCTCCACAGAATGCAATTAAACTTTACCCTCCTTCAGACGCGATGCTTAAAGCCAGACCTCCCCAGCCAACTGGCGTTAATCACACCAAAAATCTCATTTAAGAATTGCGGGCAGCCTCTTCCGTACACTCCAGTAGCCAGGAGTAACCAATTCCCTCCCCCGTCAGGAGTTCAAGCACCGGCGTCACTTAGACCAGTCTGGGGGTGGGTGCTGGGCTCCAACCTCCTCCTAAAGAGGAGCAGGAAGGGGAATTGCTTTCTTCAAAGGAGGACCTCGCAGCGTGGGTGGACTATTCGCGAGAAAACGCTCTGGGTCCGTGTCCTCTGGCACTGTCATTGAAACTCCCCCCCTTTACAGGCATTTCTGGGGGAGGGGGTGGGGAGGCCGGGGATGCGGGAAGGACGTGTTTATTTAACGCACAAGATGCCCACGTACATACACACGCGCACACACGCAAACACACACCGGGGAAGGCCGAGGCCGTGACAAGCATTTCGATCCGGGAGCCATCTAGCCTCAGCAGACCCGGGGTCACTTCCCCTCCCAAAGACACAACTTTTCACTTTTTCGGGGGGGGGCCTGGCTCGCCCCCTCCTCTGGGGTCTCCACGTCCCCGCCCCCCCCGGCCCCTCCCCGCCTCCATCCCCACACCGCGGCGCACACACCACTGCCCGCCCAGCCTCGAGGGCCCGCGGCCTCCCTCGGCCCGGCTCGGCTGCTCGGCGCTCCTCCAACCCTGGGGTGCCTCCGCCGGCTCCCAGGCTTCCCTTTCCGGGCCGCCTCGGGCCTCCCAGTGGTCCTTTCCCCCCCATTTCCGGGCCCCCTGTCCCATTTCCGGGGAACCCTCTCCGTCTCCACAGACCCCCCCCACTTGCACTTCCGGCCCCCCACTACTCACTTCCTACACCCCCTCGGACGACTGAACCCCCATTTCGGGCTCCCCGTTCTCCACAGTCGTCTTCCCCACACACACCCCCTTTTACTGTGTCCAAAGGACCCTCATTTCCGGGGGCGGGGGGAGCTCACTACCCCACTCTCTCTTCCCCTCCCCTGGCCAGCCCCCCTTCTCCCGAATCCCAAACCTCTCCAACTCATCTCTCCACAGTGCAGCTCCCCCCACTACCGCGGGCCTGGCTGCATCTGGCCTCCAGCAGGCCCGAGAAGGGGCCGAACGGAGGCGATGACACGACAAGGCTCCCGGGGATTTTCTGCGCCCCCCTACCCACCTCAGTCGCCAGCGTCTCCTCCCCTCCAGCCCCCCGGCTCCACAGCGCCCCCTCCCTCCCCCCCCAGCTGCGGCGGGCCTCCAGCACGGCCCCGGCAGGCGCGTCTCAGTTACCTAGTTCGTCCCCGAGTCTCCGCTCCGGACTCCGTGGCGCGGCAGTAACTTCCACTCTCTTCCCCCCCCCCCACCCCCCCCCAGCGGCGGTGGCGGCGGCGGCGGATCCTCCGGTCCCTTCAATTATCAGCTGAGCCGCAGCACCGCGCCGAGCGTCCCCCTCCGCCTTCACCTCCCTCCCTCCCCGCCCCCCCACCCGTTCTAACACTCCGGCGAGGAACTACTTTATCCTCCTCGCCAGGGGCATGCCCGCGGGACAGGCCCCACTGCCCGGCCCGCGGCACATCACATTACCCCCCTACCCCCCCACCGCCCGACCCCCGTTTCCCCCCGACCGCTTTCAGATCTCCCGATCCCTACGAGGGACCAGGAAGGAGGATGTGTAGGCTTCTATTGGTATCCCTCCGCCGGGGTCACCCAGGGCCCCCCCCGTCTCTCTTTGGTAGCAGGAACTAATTTCCCTTCGAGTCAATAGGGTCCCCAGGGTATAAGCTGCAAGGATGTGGTTTGTACTAGGGCTCTCAGAAGACACGGGGATGCCTGGAGCACGTCAAATTGGAAGCTCTCTAGCCCTTAAACTGGGAGCCCGATTTACCAGGACTTTGGCCCCATGACCCCAGCCCAAGTCCCGCCCCTTCCTGGTTGCCGAGGCGACGGCGGTGGCGTCCCAAGATGGCGTCCCTGCTGCCAGAGACTCTGTTCGAAGCCGGCGGACAAGGCCCGGCGCCGAGTAAAGACTACTACCAGTTGCAGATCACCCGGTCCCAGGCGAGTGTGAACCTCGGAACGCCCACCCGGGCCACCTTCCCGTCCCTGCTCGACCCCACCCCAGATCTGGTCCCCGGACGCGGCCGGAGTCGGCCGGAAGCTCCTTAGCCCTAGCCCCGAACAACCGCACAGACTCCCTCAGTCATATCCCGGCCGCGGCCGAGGCAGAGGCCCACGGGGGCCGCCTCGGCCCTGCCTCGGGCTCGCCCCGGCCTCCCTCCTCCCCACCCCCACTTGCCTCCAAGCCTCGGCCCGCAGTAGGAAGTGAAGAGAAGGCCAGAGCAGAGTCGGTCCCTGAGCGTCCCGCGGGGAAGCCGGGCTGGGGGAGGCTCCGGGGCCCGAGTCTGCGCGGGCGCCCAGAGGCCGGAGCAAGTTTTGAACTCTTCACTCGAGCGTTTACGCCTCCGGCCGTCCGGGTCAGAACTTCCGGGTTCCCCTAGGGGGGTGGGGGGGGGTTGGGGCTGGGGGCGGTGCTGGAGAGAGAGAGGGTGGTGGAGGGAGCTCGACTTACCTGTGTGGGGCGCAGACCCTCTCCCGGGGCAGGCTGGGAGTGAGTTGGGCTAGAAAAATGTTTCAGCTGCTCGGCAGTGTCAGCTCCACCCATAATGACATCTGCTTCTCAACAATGTGACCGAGGATTGGACTGTCGGGGGAGTGCGGGACCCACCCCGCCGCCGCCGCCGGCGGGGTCACCCCCCTCCTTCATTGTTTACCGCGGCCCTGCAGGAGCTGGGCACATTGTGGCGAGGCCTGGAGCGTGGGGGCTCCGGCCGCGGGGGCACACCCCCCGGGTCCCCTGCCCGGGAAGGCCCCCAGGGGGTGCGGAGGCAGAGGATGGCCCCGGAGTCTGGGGCACATCGGGAGTCGCCCCCGGGGGGAGGGGCGCAGCTGCGGGGGTGGGGGAGGGGGAGGGAGGCCGAGCTCTTGGCTCCATTCTTCTAAAGTGTAAGGAGACAGGAAGCTCCCTGAGGGTAAAGCACTGCTGGAGGCTGCAGCTGCTGGGCCCCTCCCCCAGCCAGCCCCGAGCCCGGGGCATTGCACCCTCCGGGCGCGGAATCGATAACTTAGCCTGGGTTCAAATAACTAGCGGTTAAATTGGGTGGGTTTTTCGAAGTGCCCCAGAGGTCTTCAGAAAGAGAAACCATAGCAACGTTTTAGTTATGTAGTCTCTCTCTTCCTAGAGCTGCAAGTTTGAAGATTCTAGTTTCTCTTAAACTGAATGTTTTAAAAGCTTTTTTAAAAATTTGTTAAAATTGGAACAAATTTGTTCGATTTGTTAAAGATCTAGGACCTTGTAGAAACCAAAAAATAATGGATTTCTAAACCTGACAAGCACATTTGTACGTTAAAAAAAATGATAACCCTTATATTCTTATTGTGCCCTCAAATACAACTCTTTCACCTTTGGTTTGGAAGAAAATCACTACTTTAAAGATGTAATCATTTTCAGACAGGCCCAGTTCTTTGTAGGTAGTAGGTGCTCGATAAATGAACAGACGAATCCAAATATCGGGAAATGAGAAGCCAGGCATAAATCACGTGTGGAAGAGATTAGATTTAAACTTGTCTTAAATTCTTTCAAAAACAGATGTAATGTGAGATTTTCCTTGTTTTTTCTCCAATGCCTATTCCCAGCAGTTTCTCAGAATCCCTAAAATTTTGAGGATCCCTTCTAAAGCTGCAAAATTGTCCGATATTGAAAAACAGACCCTCCCACTACCTTCAGCATCGGCAACACCTCTGCTATACCACAGTGAAATGAGTGTGCATACAATGTTTTCTTCCCTTGTTTCTACAACAATGCAGGAGAACATAAACCTCTTTCTAGACTATATTCTTGTCTCTGTGTACAGCCCCCACTCCTAACCCAATGCTGGGTAAAAAGTAGGCTATTAATAAATGCTTCTGAGGAGGCAGGTTGCACAGTACACAGAGGCTGTGTCTGGGTTCAGATTCCTCTTTTAACATCTACTGGCTCTGTAACCACTAGCAGGTCACAATCTCTCTGAGTTTCAATTTCTTTGTCAATGAATTGGAAATCATAGGATGGTAGATTTAGGGCTGAAATGGTCCAACCCTCTCATTTACTCACACAGTTGACTTGAGGCTCAAATGACATAAGAAGAGTTTTGCAAACCTTCAAGAGCTGTGTATGAGTTCTTTTTGTGATATCTGTCAGCCAAACAATCAGAAAACTTGGGTAGCTTGAACATTTTTATTGCATTTTTGTGAATGAGAAAAATCATAAACATCCTAATATGTTTTGAAATGTGACTTGTTATAGCCAATGTTCAGTATAAATTCATCTTACTCTTTTGCACCTTTTCCATTCATATTGCAATAATTGCTGTCCTAGACTGTGTGTAGATAGATATATGTAAGTGTAAATATGTACATATATGTGACATATGTATACTTGCATATACATTCCAGATTTTCTGGGATAGTTACAGTTTAAAAGTTGATTATGATGTGAGGTGATAAAGCTGATAAAAAAACAATCCTTTATTGGACCTAATTTACTGATCCAGAAAATATGATCTGTTAACGATCTGTTAACCAAACATCCATGAATAGTCTGCCTAAGTGGAAATTTATTGTACCTAGTGCCATGGTTACCTGCTGAATGATTTATTATACAGGAAGATGGGGGAAGGGGCTTTTGCCGTGGTTATGCTTGCTTATTCCTTTTAATCAATTAACAGATACAGGTTTAGTACCTAAACGGTAAGCAAAGTAATGTGCTAGGTACCATGGAGGATGCAAGGAAACATAAGGTAATGGTCCCTGTCCCCAAGAAAGTTTACAGTCTAGTTTGGGAAGACAAGCTGTACATAAAAATTTAACTCTTGAATTGTTATTTAACAAGAGTGCCTTAAGGCACTATCTAACAATTTGCAAAATTAAGGGTATACAAAATAATACCTTAGCAATATGTGTTGGCTCAGTTCAGAAGCTACCTCCTAAATAAAGCCTTTTTTTGGTTCCCCACTACCACCAATTATTCATTAACCCCCCCAAAAAATTATAGATATTTTGCATTTACTCATTGTATATATGTTGTTTCTACACCTTCCCGGTATAGACTATAAGCTCCTCAAGGGTGCAGACTATTTTCGGTTTTGTCTTTATATCCCTGGCACTTAGAAAGTGTCTGGCACCCAACTGTTAATAAATGCTTGTTGAATTAAATTGAGAGAAAGGAGAATTACCCTGAGGTAATTAAGAAAGTCATGACAAAGATCTTTACAGAGATTTTTACTGATGTTCTTAAGAACCAATATTTTTTTCCTGTTGAAATCAAAACATCACTTTCATCTCATTTCTTCATCTGTAAAATGAGGATAAGAAGAGCACTTATTTCCCAGGGTGGTGGTGAGGATTAAATGAGATAATTTATGCTCAGTGCTGTGCAAACTTTATATAAGCTGTGTAAATGCTAGCTGTTGTGACTATTGTTGTTGTTATTATAGCAGAAGTAATCTCTGTTGAATAAAAAGTTCAGCGAACAGCATCCAAACCTCATAGTTGTAGCACAGGTCGTGAGACAGCTATCCCCACTCCCCTTCCCATTTACTATGAGTCAAGTCCTCACAGAATGACTGCTAGGTGCCCTCTGTGCACTGGGTACAGCCCTGAGAACTTAGGGAATCATCTCTTCTAACACCACAGCTCACAAGCCCTCACCAGTGTGCTTCTTATTATAAGTGTTGGTATTATTTATTTATCCAGACTCAGTTCGTTTTTAGAAAGATCTCTAGTGACCGAGATGATGCAGTGAGAACAGTTGGTACTAAACATACCACCAACATTCTCTGACACAAACCCCTACCAGTCATTGGGAGGGAGAGAAGGTGTTGAGGAGGTCTAGCCCTTGTGGTGTGAGGGCTTACCAAGCCCTTTTCAGGGCTGCTCGTCCACCTCTAGTGTCTCCCAGATTCACCCTGTGGCTCCAAGAAACTGGAGTGTGCACAGTGACCACACTTCATTCCCATCCATTCAGATACAAGGGCAGGCATTCTCAGTTGACCTCACCATTATATAGTGAACTTGGAAAGCTTAAAAAAATAGTAGACCTAGCACAGCAAGGCCTTCCTTGTTAGAAGTTAAGCTCCTCGAGGGTAGACATTGTTTTATTCCTGCTATTTTTATCCCCAAAGCCTAGCACAGTGCCTGACACATAGTAGGCTCTTGATAAATGCTTGTGAGTTGGTCGATGCTAAGCACTTTTCAGACATACTGAAGCTATTCTATATGGTTGTGATATGCCTCAATTGATATTGTCAATCGTTTATTAAGACTTACTACATGTGCCCTTAGCAATATTCAAAATGTTTAGCACTTAGCCATTCCCTAATCACTAAAATAATAGAAGGTATATCCGTAAGGCTTTGCCTTGTTTGACTGTTTTTGCTGAGCCCTATTCAAGGCAGCAGTAAAGTAGTCCTGCACCAGTTTAAAATAGCTCTTGGTCATCTGAGAAATCCTCTCACCACCATAGGCCATGGCACCCATCAGAAGCGCATGGAGCATCCAGGAGCTGCTGTAATTGGATGTGACTGCTTTTGAAGCATATAAACTGCCCTCAGACTTGGAAGAGTAATGGCAAGCCTGAAAGACAGCTGAGGCCACTACCAGCCTGCACCAGGGAAGTCTTTACACAACTGAAAACATTCATTGGCCAGGGGAAACCAAAAACTCACTGAAATCTGACTCAGGCAATACACGGATCAGTCATATGCTGATGGACAGAAATAGAAAACCAGATGGAGAATGCCAGAGTGTCCTCTGAGAAACTGGGAGACAGGACACAGTGCCAGCAGAGCATCCATCACCAGCCCCATCTGAAGGGCTAGGAAGTGTAGGCTTTAACTGGACAGAGCACATCCTCTTCATAAGAAGGTTCATCCGAATCCTCTCTGGGCCATCCACACATTAAATAGCAAGGCAATTGGAATAACAGCTAAATCCTAGATCAAATGAGATAAAGGCAAAGTACTTTGCAAACCTCAAAGCACTACATAAATGTCAATTATTGTTATTATTCCTGTTATAGTAAGAGAATTTTGCTTTTCTTAAGGGGAAAGATCCAGTTCTTACAATTTGGGTCTAATCAAATAAATTAAGGAATAGTTGTAGAATTTCAAGAATATTTTACCCCATCCCTACATGCCCCTCAAGGAACTATGTTCTTTGCAATCCACGATGATGAAACTTCTGAGACAGTCAAAAGGCAAACAGGAACTACATTACTAACTAAAATTCACATTTAAATAATGCTTATAGTGCTTTGGGCTGCTGGGTGGTACTGTGGGTAGAGTGCCAGGCCTGGAGTCAGGAGGACTCATCTTCCCAAGTTCAAATCTGGCCTCAGACACTTATTAGCTGTGTGACCATGGGCAAGTCACTTAACTCTGTTAGGCTAAGTTTCCTCATCTACAAAATGAGCTGGAGAAAGAAATGGCAAACCAGTCCTGTGTCTTTGCCAAGAAAACCCCAAATGTGTGTAGACTTGGATATGACTGAAAAACAACTCAACTATAATACTTTCAAGGTTTACAAAATGTTTTACCCAAATATTTTATGAGACTTACTGGAGAATATCTCCTATCTGCCTTGGTCAAAATTTGTTCATTCTCTCCCCTGCCCTTTATATAGCATAACTAGGTTCCAATGAGTACAAATAATGAATCCCTTGAAGTGATTGCATTATTCAAATTCACACTGTATATTTCCACTGGCTGGAACCAAAATTGTCACATTTTAGATCAAGTAAAACTTTGAATAGCACAAATTCCAACACATACTGCCA